ATGAGTTAGTTTATGTAGATTGCATGTTTCTAGCAATTTGTCCATTTAATCTAGGTAATCAATTTTTTTTTGCTGTATAATGTATCACAGTATTCTCTTATCCTTTTTATTTCTGTAAAATTGGCATAAGCACTTTCATTTCTGATTCTGGTAATTTAAGTCTTTTTCTATTTTTCTTTTTCTTGGTCAGTCAGATTCATCAATTTTGTTGATTTTTGATTTTCTGTATTGTCCTTTTATTCTCTAGTTTATCTATATCTGCTCTAATCTTTATTATTTCCTTCCTTCTACTTGCTTTGAGTTTAGGTTACTCTTTTAAAAAATTCCTTAAGATGTACAATTAAGATATTGACTTGAGATCTTTTTCTTTTTTTTTTTTTTTTTTCAACGTTTATTTATTTTTGGGACAGAGAGAGACAGAGCATGAACGGGGGAGGGGCAGAGAGAGAGGGAGACACAGACTCGGAAACAGGCTCCAGGCTCTGAGCCATCAGCCCAGAGCCTGACGCGGGGCTCGAACCCATGGACCGCGAGATCGTGACCTGGCTGAAGTCGGACGCTTAACCGACTGCGCCACCCAGGCGCCCCGAGATCTTTTTCAATGTATGCATTTACAGTTACAGATTTCTGTCTGTACTACCTTTGTTACAATCCATAAGTTTTGGCATGTTGTGTTTTTGTTTTTCTTTGACTAAAGGTATTTTCATTTTCTTTGTGATTTCTTCTTTCACCCATTGGTTGTTTAAGGGCATGCCATTCAATTTCCACATATTTGTAAATTTTCCAATTTTTCTTCTGCTACTGATTTCTAGTTGCATTCCACTGTGATCAGAAAAGATGTTTTATGAGATTTAAATCTTTTAAAATTTATTAAGACTTATTGTGTATCCTGGGGAACCTGGTGGTTCAGTTGGTTAGGCATCCCACTTTGGCTCAGGTCATGATCTCTCAGTTGGTGGGTTTGAGCACCACACCGGGCTCTGTGCTGACAGCTCAGAGCCTGGAGCCTTCTTCAGATACTGTGTTTCCCTCTCTCTGTACCCCTCCCCTGTTTCACTCTGTCTCACTCTCTCTCTCTCTCACACACACACACACACAAATAAACATTAAGGGAAAAAACAACAAAAAGACTTATTGTGTAGCCTAACAAATAGTTTATCCTGGAGAATATCCCATGTGTACTTGAGAAGAATGTGCATTCTGCCCTTCTTGGGTAGAGTATTCTGTATATGTCCGTTCTGTATGTGTATAATTGGTTTATAGTGTCGTTTAATTATTGAAAGATGGGCAGTTTAGTCTCCAACTACTATTATAGAAAATTCTATTTTTCCTTTCTGTTTTTGCTATATATATTTCGGGGGCTGTGTTGTTGGTGCCTGTATGTTTATAATTGTTATATTCTCTTGCTGTGTTGAACCTTTTATTAATAGTCTCTGTTTCACATAACCCGTTTTTATATACAGTCTATTTTTTTCTGACAGTAATATAGCAACCCAGCTGCCTTTTGGTTAGTCTTTGCATGAGATACCTTTTCCATCTTTTTGCTTTGAATTTTTTGTGTGTACTTACATCTAAAGTGAATATCTAGCAGCATCTGGATGGATGATGTATTTTATCCAACTTTTCAATGTATGTTTTTAATAGGAGAGTTATTTTCATTTAACCAGATTACTGATAAAGAAGGATTTACTTCTCTTTACCTATTTGTTTTGGGTATGTCTTTTATGCTTTTTGTTTCTCAGTTTTCTTATTACTGCCCTCCCTTTTCTGGGTAGTGTGCCACTTTGATTCCCTTTTTAACAGTTATTTCTTAATTACCTTAGAGATTACAATTAACATATTACAGTGTAATTTAAATAATATCAACTTAGTTTCAATAGTATATACTCTAATCCTATATATCTCTGTTCCTACCCCAACTATTATTGTCACAGATGACATCTCTATGCACTGCATAGCCATTAATATTGACTTAAAATGATTGTGTTCTGCATTTGGCTATTATATAGGAAAAAGAGAGAAGTTGCAAACCATACCAAAAGTACAGTAATACTGGCTTTCATATTTACCCATGTGGTTACCTTTACCAGTGTTCTTTACTTTTTTCTTATTACTTTGAGTTACTCTTCAGTGTCCTTTCATTTCAGCCTGAAAGGTTCTCTTTAGTGTTTCTTTTTTAAATTAACTTTTTAAAAGTTTTTTAAAATTTATTTGGTTATTTTTTTAACAGGAAGTTTAAAAAAATTTTTTTTAATATGAAAAAATATGGAACGCTTCACAAATTTGCGTGTCATCCTTGCACAGGGGCCATGCTAATCTTCTCTGTATCATTCCAATTTTAGGATATGTGCTGCTGAAGCGAGCACTAAAATTTATTTTTGAGAGAAAGTGAGAGTGGGGGAGGGACAGAGAGAGAGAGGGAAAGAGAGAATCCCAAGCAGGCTCCACACTGTCAATGCAGAGCCCGACGTGGTCTCAAATCCACAAGCCATGAGATCCCGACCTGAGCCGAAGTTGGCGCTCAACTGACTGAGCCACTCAGGCTCCCCAAGGGAAATCAACTTTTAATTTTAGGGAAGATCCTTTGTAAGTGATGAGTTCGTTTTCTCTTACTATTTTCCAAATTCCTTATTTGTCTTTGGGTTTCAACAAATTGACTGTAATGTGTTGTGGCATAAATCTCTTTGAGTTTATCCTCCTTGGAATTGATGGATGTATATATTCATGTGTTTCCTCAGACTTGAGAACTTTTGGGACATTATTTCTTCAAATATTTTTGCAGCCCTTCCTATCTCTCTTCTTTGGAACTCCTAAAATGAGAATGTTGATGAGTTTGATGGTGTCCCACAGACTCTACTCATTTTTATTCATTCTTTTTTCCTTCTTTTCTTCATACTGGATAATTTCAAGTTCAGCAATCCTTTCTTCTGTTTGGTCAAATCTGATTTGAACTTCCCTAGTGAGTTTTTTATTTTAGTTATTGTATTCGTCAGCTTGAGAATTTGTTTGGTTTATTATTAAAATTTCTATGTCTTTATTGATATTCTCATTTTTTCTTACATCATTTTCCTTATTCCCTTTACTGTTTCTCCAGGGTTTCCTTTAAATCATTGTACATCTTTAAGATAGTTGATTAAATATCTTTGACTAATAATTCTAATATCTGGTTTTACTAAGGATGATTGCTTCCAAATTCTTTTATTTTTACTGCAAATCAGCTATATTTGCCTGTTTCTTTGTATGTTTTACTATTTTTTGTTCAAAACTGGACATTTTGAGTGTTATGTTGTATAATTCTGAGAATGTATCCTCTCAGTCCTCAGTAATTGCTAAGTCTTGCTTGTGGAGGGTTTCATTTATCCGTTTGTGATTTTTCCCAACTTTTTTTCTTTTGTAAAGTGTGTATTCCTCATTGTATGTAGTAATTGAAGTTTCTGTTTTGTTATCTCTGTGATCAGCCAGTGGCCTAGCAAGGATTTTCTTAAATGTCTGACTCCCAAAAGAGGGGGGAAAGTACTGTCTTTTAAAATCTCCTGGAAGTTGCTTCAGCCTTTGGGGGTTAAAACTGCAGCTGCCAGTCTTTGTGCTGGCCCCTCAGTGATCAAAAGGAACATCAGCACTCAGAACATACAATCTACATGTAGGGAGGAGAAGGTCCTTACTGCCCACCCTGGCTCCAGAAAGCTGCACCAGGAACAAGTTCAGCTTCCCCCACTGCCTCCTACAGGAGGGATGGGGAGTAACGCCTCATGAAATGCTGAAATTTGCTGACATTTACCAACCTATTCATCATCTTCTTCCCTGGGTGTTGCAAATGTTTGACTGACTCTAGAGTTCCAGAATATTTGATTCAGACAATTCTGCCAGCTTAGGAGCTGTTTAGGTGGAGGAATGGATCTTTGGAGCTTCTTACTCTACCGTTTTCTGTCTATATGTAGGTTTTTATTTCTCTTGAGTAAATATCTGAGAGTAAAATGGGAAGAATATGTTTAATTTTTAAGAAACTGCCAAACTGCTCTCCAGCATGGTTTCCAAAGTACCATTTTAAACAATCCCACTAGCAGTGTATGAGAGCTCAGTTGCTCTGCATCTTTCCCAGTGATATGTATGGTCAGACTTTAATTTTAGATATTCTGGTAAGTGTGTAGACATATCCCATTGTCATTTTAATTTGCATTTCCCTAATGATGGGAAATTGTGATGTTGAACATACTTTCATATGCTTTTTTCCATCTGCATTTCTTCTTTGGTGAAGCATCTGTTCAATCTTTTGCCCATTTTTACTTGGATTGTTTCTTTTTTTGTTAGTATTGAAATATGAGAGTTCTTTATATATTCTGAATGAAAGTCCTTTATCAGATATTATTTGGAAATATGTTCCCCCAATCTGTGGTTTGCCTTTTCATTATTTTTATTTATTTATTTTTTTTAGAGAGTGAGAAAGCAGGGGAGAGAGGCAGAGGGGGAGAAAGAGAGACAGAGGATCTTAAGCAGGCTCCACACTCAGTGCAGAGCTCGATGTGGGGTTCTATGCCACGGCCCTGGGATCATGACCTGAGCTGAAATCAAGAGTTGGACGCTTAACTGCCTGAGCTGCCCAGGCGCCCCAACCTTTTCATTATTTTAACGTATCTTTCAGTGACTATTATTAATCTCTTATTGATTATTATCAACATGTAGATTGTCTCATTTGCTTATCAGAAAATAGTAGAAGAAGTATTATTCCAGTTTTGCTGGTGAAGAAACTAAGGCTCAGAGGAGTTTTCCACTTGTGCAAGGTCACATATTAGTAAGTGGTGGAGACACAACTTGAAACTAGGGCCTTCTGAATCCATGGATTGGGCTCTTAGCCCCAGTTCTAGCTTAACACCCACACTTTGGCTATTAATATGAAGTTCCCTTCTGGGTAAATGTTTGGCACCATAACCTCTGCCACTAGAATGAGGCAGGTCTGCCCAGCCTCTTTCCATGATCCCGCTTTTCCATCTTCTTTTCTCCAGACTGGTTGAGGAAGTGAAGGAGCTGTGTGATGGACTGGAATTAGAAAATGAAGATGTTTACATGGCAACCACCTTTGGGGACTTCATCCAACTATTAGTGAAGAAGCTACGAGGGGACAACAAAGAGAGCGAGTGCATCATTGACTATGTGAGTCCTGGGCCCCTCCACGTGGGCTTGGCTCTGCAGACTTCTCAAACACTCACATCCGTGGATCCACAATGACACATGGGGAAAACCTGGACATCCCAGAAACCAGGGCACTCAAGAGCCTAGCTTCAGTGTCCCAAACTCTCCCTGGTAACCCTGATAGCCTGAGGCTGCCAGTCCAATTAGCCCAGTGCAACAGAGGAAATTGTCTATGGGACAAATTCCGACCCCCAAAGATATGAGAGTAAGATATTAAGAAGTGGCTTTTACAGAGTACTTCTCACCCTTTTTCTCCTTTGGTGGTTTTTCCCAGTAGTTGTCTCCTTGCTGCTGTGGCCCTGGCCCCTACCAGATCACCCTTCCAGGACTCTAGTTCTGCTGGGGGACCCTAGACCCTAGTTCTGGGACCACCACTTCCTCCATTTGTCCTTCTAATCTAGTAATGGCAGGCGCTTGCTGCTGTTATCAATCTCTGGGTTGACTCATGACCTCTCAGCTCTTTCATCACCTGTGCAACCAACTGCATGCATTAAATTCCTTTTGTTGAAATGCCAAAAGAGAGAGAAGAAGGGATGGAGGGAGGAAGCTAGACAGGAAGAGAGGGAGAGAAAGAGACAGAGAATGAGGAATTGGGAACTTTTTCCCAATAAGGGAAACAAGTGATCCTATACATTCAATTTGTATATATGGAAGTGTAATGATGTAATTACAAATTTATTTTTAAATTTTTAAATGTTTTATTCATTTTTGAGAGAGAGAAAGAGTGTGTGTGTGTGTGTGTGTGTGTGTGTATGTGTAAGTGGTGAGGGACAGAGAGGCAGGGGGCAGAGTATCTGAAGTGGGCTCTGTGTTGACCATAGAGAGCCCAATGCAGGGCTTGAACTCATGAATCTTGAGATCACCCAAGCACCCCTCCTAGCTTATTTTTAAAAGAAACTCTTGAAAAATCATCCTGAGGTGTATTGGTAGGCTACGAGCTCCCACAGGAATTATCATTGGGATAGTTTGGAACAATAGCTGATGAAGAAAGTGTAGGCAGCCAGGATGGATACCAGGTTGGCCTTAGGATTGCAGACAGATGACTGATGAACAGATTTCAGGAGAAGAATGGTGTCCCAGAGGATGCCATTTGGGATGGAATTTCAGGTCTACAGGGAAGTGAGCGATGGGGTTGGTGTCATGTCTGGTGACTCATAAGTGTCTGTCTGCCAACTGGCACTTCCTACTTGCAGAGGCCTAGCAACCAGCCTGAGATCACACAGCAGGTAAATGGCAGGACAGGGGTTGCAGGCCAAGCAGCCTGACCTCAGATTCTGTGCTCTTCATCACTTCTTATTGTTCAGCTGCCACCACTGCCCACATAATAGCTCCCTGAGCCAAGGAAGGCAGCAGAACTGGATTTGGCTAGAGACCTGAGAAGGCCAAGGGGCCTTGAGCCCTGGCCCCTTGGCTATCTGTGTGTGTGTGCATGAGTGTGCACAAGTGTGCATGAGTGCACACGCATGTGTGTGCATGAATGGTTATCTATCCATCTCTGAGTGTTTCCTATGTCCTTCTGTGGGTCCGTATCTGCCACTGACGCACATTGTGAAGGATCCACACTGCAGTGAATCCCTGTAAAACTTCCTTTCCCAGGTGGAAAAGGCGGTGAACAAGCTCACCCTCCGAATGCCCCACCAACTCTTCATTGGGGGACTGTTTGTGGATGCTGAGGGTGCCAAGACCTATGAGACCATCAACCCAACAGACGGAAGTGTGAGTGCAGGTTTAGCACCCCCTTCTGCTCTCCTTCCACCTGCCCCCTCCTTGGCCTTTTCTTCTCTCTCATCTACTCCCTCACCTGGTGTCTGGGGACCCCTGCTTAGGGGGCCTCTATTCGCACACAGAATGGTTGTAGTCAGTTTCCAGCCCTCCCTACAGGAATGGCCCAGAGGGGAGCTAGACCAGGAAGGCAGGAGGATTCCAAAGGTCTGGAGCCTGCTTCAGAGATGGACCAGAGCTAAAATCCCCCATGGAAGAAATGAAGCCATTCCCTCCCCCTCCACGCATCAACAACAACCTCAGCATGGGCCTTACCCTCTTGAATATGTGTACACCCCACTGTTGGGAATTCTTCCTTGAATCTCATGTTTGTCAGACTTTCTTGACTGTGACCCTTTTATGTCATGACCCAGTATGTGCATATTGTATTCTCACATACACACCTACCTGAAACAACACTTACTCCTACAGGTGTATACTCGGTTTTCCATTCTGCCCTACCTATGGCATCCCTCAGGGCCTGTGGAAAGCACATAGCACACTTAACTGGGTCACTGGAAGGGAGTTTAAAGAAAATAATTGACAAAGGGGTGGACTGGCTGTGGGGACACAAACAAGGGGATACAGTACCCTCGGGCAGAAACATGAGCTGTTACCACCTTGAGGCCTATTTGGGGAATCCCAGAAAGGAAGCTGTCTGGACAGGGTTGCCTGGGTGCTGGGCCCTTGGGCAGGGAGGGTGTACCATGCCTTTGGTAACAAGAAGGGTGCTGGCCTTGCACCTCCCACTTCTCTCTCCTCCTGGCTTTCCTTTGGCCATGCCCAGGTGTCAGGAGGTGTGGGAACCTGCACTATAGTGCAAGTGGGCACTGTCAGGACACAGAGCAAGGATGGGGGACAGGAATGGTCCTGTCACCTTCAACATCTAGACTATTTCACTTAAGAAATAGACTTTCTGCCTAGAACTTACCAAATTAATGGGCTTCTGCTCTTGGTTTGACAATGCTAAGCTGATCCTCAGCCTCATAGCTGCAGCCTGAGTCTGTTACTCTATTTGGGCTCAGTGGGCAAATGAAAAGAAGGGTCTTGGTATGTAGAAACACAAGCAAACCTCTTTGAAGGTCCCTAGCTTTCCTCATTGTGCACACCCTTCCATGGCCCTCCTGTTTGCCTACTGTCCCCACTGAACCCTCCCAGGTAGCCAGGGGAGCGGTGGCATGGGGCATCTGTGTACGCGGAGTCCAGGGAGGGCTTCATGGCTCTGCTCCACCATAGGTCATCTGCCAGGTGTCCCTGGCCCAGGTTAGCGATGTTGACAAGGCAGTGGCTGCCGCTAAGGATGCCTTTGAGAATGGATTGTGGGGGAAGATCAGTGCACGGGATCGAGGCCGGCTCCTGTACAGGTGAGAACCCCACAAACTCCTGTCAGCTACTTCACCTTATGTTTGGGTTGGAACTGCATGCTTGGGTATTGCCAGGAGGAAGTTGGGGTCCCAAACAGGTTGTGTGACCAAGGCCTGAGACTCAGAAAAGCTTCTCAGAGGAAGTGACTTGAGATGCAGGAAGAATTTCACCAGACACAAGTAGCCTTAAGGGAAAAATGTCCTCAGTGGAGGGAACAGTGTGATTGAAGATAAGGAGGCACAAAAGTGAAAGTGCTGATAAGATGGGAGTGGCAAACTGGCAAAGTTAACAGATGGTCCTGGGCAGTCTCAGACATGTACAACACTTCTCTGAGTGGACTGGACCAGAGGAGGGATCACAGCTACTTTATGCAGAAGCCAGCAAGGGAAGGATGGGGTCTGTTCTTCCTGCTGGTCCTTGCTCAGATCTCCCTGACTGCTGGAATCTCACATTTTCCTTTTTTTTCTAAAACCAGGGAAGAAGGGGCTCTCTCCCCTTAGCTTCATCAGAAGTATTAGGGAAGGATGTAGAGTTTACCCACTTATGACCATGGGGTGGGAGTGTGGCCTGGAAGAGAGATACTACTCCCCTAGAAATAGGTGGTCCCAATGGGGGAAGAGCAGTTGCCCCTCCAAAGAAGTGGGGTGATGGTTACAGAAGGGAGGGTGCTGCACAGATGAACTAAGCAGTGTCGAAAAGCCTAGTGAACAAGCCAGTTTCAGGAACCTGACTTTTATGCTCTGGGTCCTGGGGAAGCTGTCAGGCATAGAGTCTGGTCATGATGTGGTCCAAATGTACTTGTCATCTGGTGGGAGAGAGGCCCCATCTTGGCCTTGCGGTCAGAATGTCATTTTCTTTCCTATTCAGAGGCCAGAAACACCAGGACAGCCTCCAGCACAGGAAACCAGAGAGAGGGGCCTGTCTAGTTTCCAAATGGAATAGAGATGGTAAGGGTTGGGGCAGGCAAGGGTGCACCCAGCCTGCTCTAACTCAAGTTAGTTTCAAGACCCCTTGAAGAGCCTATCAATTTTAGGAAGCCATTGCCTAGTGACCTAGTGACCCCAGATTAGGCAAAACTGAAACATGCAAGCCCAGGCTGGTGATGCTGAGAGAGGAGCCTTCTGGCCCTGAAGCAGACTCCAGAGGTAGATGTTTGCTGACCCAAGAGTGTTTCCCTTGAGCAGTTCTGCTGCCATCTAGTGGCATGTGTCATAATAACACCACCAGCAACATGATAGCGAAGGGTTGGGTGCCTGAACAGCTCTAAGTAGAGACCTGGACTGCTTTGACAGACATCTCAAGCCCAGACCTGAGAACTCCTAGGAACCTGGTCCTGCCTCATGCAACCTCCCAGTCCCCGTGGTGGAGGTTCACCCATTGCTGGCTCAGCAGCCCCTGGTTCAATGAGGAAAATAGACCACCATGGATACATATTATGGAATGCAGAATACATTATAGGGTTCAGACATTATGCAATTGTGGGAGAAGCTGGGAAGAAAGATCTAGAAAAGAGAGTTAAAGAAAGTCACTAGACGGGCCCCAAGAACCACTGAGGGACAAGATAGAGCCTCTCAGGAACCTAGAGAGCCAGTGTCCCCAGCTGCCAGAGAGGGACCACCAAGAGCTGGTGGCAGAGTCTGTAGGAAGCTGTCACCTTTTGTTCGGACACTTCCTTAGGTCCACAAACAAGAATCTGGTGGTGGACCAGGCTGCTGGGAGTGAGGCTGAGCCTTGTGGCACCCCACACTTGCCTTTCCTCATGGCTGTCCTGAGGACCTCTGGGGTGACTTTGGTTGCTTCACTGCCTTCCCCGCCCCTGGTACTTTCTGGGGACAGGATGCTGGAGGCAGAGGTACAGCTCAGCAAAGTTGACAGTGAACAATCCCACTCAGTTCTCGCTGAGCTTTCCAAATGGCATGCTCAGGTGATAGTTACTTTAGGGTTTTATGACATGGCCACATCACATGCAGGTGACCTTGTCTGGTAGAATTGGAGGGGCTTGGGGCTGATCAAGGGAAAAGAGAGGACTATGAGAAGTAGAAACACAATACAAGCTTCAGGAGGCATCACTCCCATAGTGGGAGACCCTCCAGAGACTATAGTGGGGGGTCTCTACTCAGAATGGGAAGAGTGCAAAGCAACTCTTGGAGGTTGGGGGATCAGAGGGGGGCCGCTCTGATGCAGGCTCCCATGTCCTGGCAATGTTGCTCAGCAGCAGAGCAGGGATCTTTGGGTCAGAGGGCTGGGGAGGCAATAGCTGTAAGTGCATAGTCCATCTCTCCAATAATAGCTGTCAAGTGGGATTCCCAGGGGACGTAAAGCAAGACTTTAAATAGCTAAAAGTCTGCTTGTTTGGGCTATGTTTAAAATAATTGGATACCTAAATATGTATCCAGCAAGCTTTTAAGCTGACAGGTCTCACCCTGCAGTGAAGAACCTAGGGGCCAATACACAGAGACCACCTTTGGCTTATTTATTTTTTTTAAGTTTTTTAATGTTTATTTTTGAGAGAGAGAAAGAGACAAGCAAGGGAGGTGCAGAGAGAGAGGGAGACAGAATCTGAAGCAGGCTCCAGGCTCTGAACTGTCAGCACAGAGCCCAACGTGGGGCTTGAACTTGCAAACCTCGAGATCATGACCTGAACCAAAGTTGGATGCTTAACCAACTGAGCCACCCAGGTGCCCCTGGCTTATTTATAATATAGATTTATACCTGTGACACATCTCTTCTTCTAGTTGATAGAACCCTAGTCTTTGAAATGCCACAACATGGTGTTTCATTATTTGGTCTATAATCCTTCTCAAAAAGTTATTTACACCTTTGCTGTTCTTAACTAGAGAAGTACCTGGGTGTGTCACTGTGTCTGAAGTAACCATGTGGCTATGCCACTAAATTGCTCATGTCTGTTCAGCCCACAGTTTCACTCACAAGCCTTATGCTACATACTGACTGTGTGCCCAGTGGGTGTAGGAGGTCCAGTAGGGAGCAGGAGACCAAATCCTGTCCCAGGCCTCAGGGAGAGGCAAATAGTCCTGGAATACTCAACTAAGTGAATAACTGTAACAGTCATGCAAGGTTTGAAGAAAGGTAGAGGTTGCTATCAGGACGTTGGAGGGATATGTTATTAGTGTAGAGAGGGCAGGAATTAGGGTTGGCTTCCCAGGGAGAGTGTGTACTTGGGGTGTTTAGGCCATGCCATGGCTGAATGCAGAGAGGAGCTGGTCAGCAGTCTTTTGTCCCAGACTTATCTCTGGGCCAGAGCTCCCCCATGTACAAGTTTGAGAGCCACTCTGGGTCTGTGGCCTCCACCTTCCTCTGGGCACCCTCTTCCCTGGGCACTCTGCTTTTGGGGCTCCTTTATATCAGAGAAGGGGGCACGGTCCTAATTCCCAGGCTGCCCATAGCAGCACACCCACCAGGGCAACTGGATTTCAGAGAGCTAACAAGGAGAGCTGTGTAGATGAACCTTCCCTTGAATCTCTCCCATCATCTCCCCTCCCCCTTCCCACAGATACCATCCTTGGGGGCATACTCCACTGGATCAGCTGGTGCTTGAAGCTGGACATGCTTTCCCCTCATCAAGGTTGTCCAGAGACAGGGTGACCTTTTTGGATGGTGACCTCCTTACTGCAGAGGCAGAGGGACTGCTTTTGCAGAATCATGTGTGTTATTATAAAGCAGTTAATGCATCCATATTTTATGAAGGAAGAAAGGAAAAGAGAGGAGAGGAGAGAGGGACAGGAGGGCATCATCCTCATACCCATCCAGCAAAGTAAACCTTACTGTCCCATCTCACAGATCAGAAAACTGAGGTCAGCACATCTGAGTGTGACAGAGCTGGGAGTGCAGGGCAGAGGCACTAGTTCATTGAAGAAGGGCCTTGAAAGAATAAGCAAGGCTGGTCCTGACCTGAGCCCATCTCCCTCCCCTTCTCCACCCCTTGCCCAGGTTGGCAGACCTCATGGAACAGCACCAAGAAGAGCTGGCCACCATCGAGGCTCTGGATGCAGGCGCTGTCTACACACTGGCCCTGAAGACCCACGTGGGCATGTCCATCCAGACCTTCCGCTACTTTGCTGGCTGGTGTGACAAAATTCAGGTGGGGCTGAGGCTCTTACCCACCAAGTGAGAGCTCACACAGGCAAGCTGGGCTCAGCAGGAAACTCTAGGGCAGTGTGTTAGCCTACATACTGCATAAAAAATGACCCAGTTTATTGGTTTAAAACAACCCATCAGCTTACATTTCTGCAGATGGGAAGTTCAGGCAGGCTTGGCTGGGTTCCATGCTAGGATTTCACAAGATCAGTGTCTAGGCTGGGCTTTATCTGGAGCTCTGGGGAGACCCTGCCTGCAGGCCTGTTCAGGTGTTGGCAGAACTCAACTCCTGTTGTTGCAGGACCGAAGGTCCAGGTCCTTGCCAGCTTCTGGCCGAGGCTACTGCAGGCCTCACTCTGGCCCTTGCCACCACCCACCCCCCCTTGCCTTTCTCAGGCTTGGCATCCCTCTCTCTTAAACTGGATAAAACTCTGCCTTTATGGAGGTTCCTGAGGTCATGCTGGGGCCATCTGCATCATCTCCCTATCCTCAGGTCAACTGTGCCATTCCACATCTTTGCAGAAGGGGTAGCTCACCATCTCCTGGATCCCAGGGATCAGGATGTGACCTTGGAAGCCATTTCCAGTGGTTTGCCCACCAGAGGCAGGGATGGGTCAATCCTTCCCCAGAGATATCCATTACCAACAGGTTCATTGGGGTCTCTGCCAGAAATGGGCTCCACGCCTCCTATCCTCTCCATGGGGCTGAGAGGTGCAGGTATGATGGCAAGCCCAACTTCTGCTCCTCCTTCTACTGTTGCATCACTGTTGGTTGGAGCTGGTCCCCACCTGGGGCCTCCTGGGCCGGCACAGTCTCTAGAGACAACTTGGCCCCCCACCTCCTCCCTTGTCTGCCCCAGTGTCAAAGCCAGAGGCCTTACCTGTACCAGGACCAGTTTCTTGTCTGAGGATTCTGCCAGTCTCAGTGCAGGAGGCACCTTGCCCCTGATGGCTGCCTGCTCCACCTGTACCTGAAGTCCTCAGATACCCCTGTTGTACATAATCTGGAAGGTTTGTGTCTCTTGCCTGTCTCAGTCATGGGGGTTTCAGGATGCAGACAAGACCCTGTTCCTTTCTGAGCCCCAAGCACAGTCTGGCTGCCCAGGGGGAAGGGGGAAGGAAACAATGGAGCCCCCTATCAGTGACTCCCCTTGTTTGTTCCAGGGCTCCACCATCCCCATCAACCAAGCCAGACCAAACCGCAACCTGACCTTGACCAGGAAGGAGCCTATTGGGTGAGTCACAGCGTTGGGCGAAGACTCGCCACACGTTAGGCACTTTTCGCGCAATTTGTAGTGTGAGCACTCATCCCCTTTTTACACATCTATCGAATGCTATTTATTCACTAATTACTACATGCCATACATTTCAGGTGCTGGATATACAACAATGATCGAAACTGATGAGAATGCCTGTCCTCAGGGGACTTATATTCTAGCAAATAAAACAGCTTTCACGTCTAAAGTAGCTGCTCTGTGCCAAGCACTGTTTCAGTGGCCTTATAAGTATAATTTTACTTAATCCCCACAATAGCCCTGTATCAGTCAGGGTCATAGTGGGAAACAGAGGGTACACCTGAAAAATTTTATCTGCAAAGAGTATAATAATGAATATGCATAAAAATTAAGAACTACACAGAACCAAGGAGCAGGGTAAAAATAATAGAGAAATAGACAAGGATAGGAACCAGTGCTCAACAGGAGACAGACACCTGCCCAATCAACATAGAAAAGACTAGGAATTGGGGAAATTATGTTAAAACCAGACGTGAGGGGCCTTGCCTCACCATCAGATGGTCCAAAGGCCTAGGGAGAGAGAAGCCTCCTCACACTGCCTTTTGGGGTGGGGGGGACGGGCAAAGGATCCACCTTTGTGAAAGGCAACGTGGCAGTGCCTATTCAGTCCCCAAATGTACCCCATCACAGGCATAACTATGGTGGCTCACTGACACAGGTGCACAAGGAGACAAGACCAAGAGCACTCACAGCAGCTGTGCTGGGGCCTTGACAACAAAACCCTGCACAACCCATGCTAAACACTGCAGCCTCCTAACCAGGGCATGGCTTGTGGCTGTGTGAAGGCATGGGACAGAGCTATGGGGACCATGAAGAACAGCTCCAGGAGAAACTTGTTTGAGGGAATCACACTGATGAATGCCCTCTAAATCATCAAATGTGCACCAGAGGCCCAGAGTGGTCAGCACCCAACAGGCATTCCCACCTACCCTGTGCCCCTTACAAGCGTGGGGCCTCTGGGATCCACCAGCAGGGACCTCACATCCCTGTGGATGGTAGTCAAGGGCACTCAGCTTCCTTGGGAATGTGGGGGTGTGTCAGAAGGAGAATGTGTTCAGATGTCATTTGCATCGACAGAAATGAGTACAGATGAACACACCAGGTCCTGAAGGACAGGCCTGCTGGTGAGGGTGACCCCTGTCAGGACAGTGGGCTATGGGTGCAGGAAAACCCTGTCCTGTAGCCCCCAGAGAGGGGGCAGCCTGGGAGGGAAGTGGCACTGAGGGCAGGGGTTCCCACCCAGCCTTTCCCCCAGAGGACACAATAAGTAGACGGTGCCCCAGGATAGGCCCCCACAACAAGGAACTCCCCTGCCCAGGTGTCAGAGTGTAGAGTGAGAGCCCTGTATAGCCCATGTGCTTGGAGCCCCTTACTTGGGCACAGGCCTGAGAAGGGCTGGGCAGGGGGACCAGGGCCCACCTGGCTGCCAGTCACAGGAATTTGCATGGTCACTGCTCTTCCAGATGCCTCCCGAGGAGTCTGTCCCCATCAGACTGAGGAGGACACTAATGCAGAGCCTCCCAGGGAGTTGGGGGACTGGGAAAGTTGTCCCTATATGGGCGGGTTTATGGGTCTGCTAGAGCTGCCATAACAAAGTACTGAAACTAAGAGACTCAAGCAGCACACATCTGTTGCCTCAGCATTCTGGGGCTGGAAGTTCCAGATTCAGGTGTCAGAGTGTTGGTTTCTTCTGAGGGTATGAGGGAGAATCTGCTCCAGGCATCTCCCCCAGCTTCTGGTGGCTTACTGGCAGTCTTGGGTGTTCCCCAATCTCTGCCCTCATGTTCACTTGGTGTCCTCCTTGTGCATGTCTGTCTGTTCACATGGCTCTGTTTTTTGAAGGACATCAGTCCTATTGGGTTAGGTACACACCCTATTTCAGTATGACCTCATCTTACCTAATTACATCTGGGATGGCCCAATTTCCAAATAAGGACGTTCTGGAGTTAGGATTTCAACTGCGAGTTTTGGGGAGTACACTTCAGCCATGACAGTGGGACTTCCTGACGTCCATTCTCCTTTGGAGCCCCCACAACAACCCTGATGACCTCACCCTCTTCCCTGGACAACTCACCGTGCTCCCTCCACCTTCTCATCCTGTTGGGTCTGCTGGGTGTACATGGGGTGGGGAGTGGCTCTCCAAACCCCTGAGTGCACCCTGTTGTTCCCAGGATGGTGTGCTGGTCCCCAGATTGTCCTGACCTCAGCCTTCACACACGCTCTTCCCCTTCCTGGGTTCAGCTAAGTCCTCTTTTGGGAAACATTCTGTGGTGATGATGATCATGAATATGATGAAGAAAACAAGTTAGGTAGCCTGAGCAGTTCTGTGTGGACCGGCTCATTAATTGTCGACACTGATGAAGACAATGCCCTGGGTTTTACAGGAGTCAGGGGAATGCAGGGCCTCATGCCTGCTGGGACCACATGTGTCATCATTAGGCCCCCCAGGACCATGAGGGGCTTCCCTTTGATGGAGTTTCTGCTCACCCAGAGGCTTTCTCTGGGACCAAGGGGCACACTGATGTTGGGTACCATCTCTTAATACAAAGCAGACAAGCCTTATTAGGCCTCCTCAGCTGACTGCTTCCTTCTCTCCATGGAACTTCACCCTGGCCTCACACCCAAGAGGACCGTCACTGACTTCCTCCTGTCCCACTCGTGTGATCCCACTTCTCTTCCATACTCTCTTTGCCCACCTGGGTGGTCCCTGGCCTTCTCCCTGGCCCTGCCTTCTGTCAACTCCTGCACTGCCTGGTGTCCTGCACTACTGGACTATCCTTAGACAGGTCTGACAGTTCCGATGAGAAACCATGTTCCCTAGCATTTTGCCATGCCAGGAAGAGGGGCTATTGCCACGCTGGACATACTGCCCCATCAGGGGCTGGAAGGCCAGGGGTGAGCTCTCTCAGGGGGACCTTGGGCACCATATCAAGATGCTTGGAGTGGAACGGGTGTCAGGCTTGGGGAGAGGAAGCAGTTGGCAGGTGCAGTCTGGCACCCAGGCTGAGTGGAGAGACGAAGATACACTTCTTTGTACCATAGGGTCTGTGGCATCGTCATCCCCTGGAACTACCCCCTGATGATGCTCTCCTGGAAGACGGCTGCCTGCCTGGCTGCTGGGAACACAGTGGTGATCAAGCCTGCCCAGGTGGGTCTGGGTGTGTTCCAGGTGGGGCCTATGGGCTGTAGAGGATGAAACAGGTGCCCTGTTGGGCCCTTTGACCACCTGGGACTGGTTCCTCCTCAAGGGAGGAAAGGAACTACTGATGAGGGCTGGCCTTCTGTGGGCCTGGCTCACAGCAGCAGAGGCAGCAGGCAGCAAGGGTCAATGTGGGCTGTAGGCAGAGTCTGTTCATTCGACCATGGGGTGGCTGAGTCAGGTTAGCCGTGTGTGTACCTGCAGCTGCTTGGTGAGCAGAGTTATTTTCCCACAGATACCAGCCCTCTGGATTTGGGGGAGCAGAAACCCTATTTGGTCCCTTGTCCAGGCCCCATGCTCTGAGACAGCTTTGGTCGCTTATTTGGCTTCAGAGACTGAAAGTCCTGGAGGGAGCAAAGGAGTGGTGGGATTTGTGCACCTGCACCCTTCCCCCCCCAACCAGCCCTTCACACAGAAGCTGCACAGGTCAAGGTCACTCAGGCAGGCTGGAAGGGCCTGAGCAGGGTCCCCTGGGGATGAGGAACCCCTTGCACGAGCCTCAGCTTCTTCACCTGTATACTGAAAGTAACAGCCTGTCCCCTGCCTGCCCCCAGGGGTGTTAGGAACTGAAGGCAAGATGCTCCATCATGTGGCTCTGGACAGCGTGCCCAGGTTTCCTGGCTACTTTGGGGAAACTTGGCTCCAAGAAAGTTATAATTTAAAACCCAACAATAGCGACAGCTAGCATTTACAGTATTCACCCTGAGGCAGCATTTTAGTCCATAACAAATTACATGAAAATTAAAAATTTGCACACATTTCCTTGTTTGAGCATGACAACAACCTTCTGAGATGACCCATAACCTCTCACATTACTGGGGGCTTGTTGTGAACAGATCCAGGCAATTGTCCCTGGAAGACCCGGTAACAGGCCTGTGCCCTCCCAGCTCCAGCACCCCACAGATTTGGAGGCTCAGCCTAAGGCCAAGTGGTAGGTGGGACACAACCCAAACTTTACAAGGAAAATTACCTGGGCCAGAAGAGGAACCACTGCTAGCCTAGCAGGCCAGGGGAGAGGAATGGCCTCCAGCCACGACATGGTAATTAGAATCTCGCACCCACCAGGGAGTTCTGGGCACTGCCTGGCACTGAGGTGCTTCCAGGCAGTCCTGGGACACTGCACTCTTTGAGTGAAGAAGGTATGAATGTTCATGAAGGGGCCAGGCCTGGCCACAAGGCTGGGGCCTGCCAGGAGAAGGCACTAGAAGACACAGGAGGTAGCAGGCCTTACTCCCCACTTTCCACTGAAGCTCTGGGGGAAGCTGGCTGTGTTGGCAGTACCCACTTTGATGGGGCTTACCCTGGAGGGTCCTCCTGCCATGACTGCTCCTCCCTGCTTGCTACCTTGGCTGCTGGGAAAGGAAGGCCGAGCCCCACTTCCTGGTCCTTCCTGACCCAGTCTTCTTCCCTCCCTCCCCAGGTGACTCCACTCACAGCCTTGAAGTTTGCAGAGTTGACCTTGAAGGCTGGCATTCCCAAGGGCGTGGTCAATATCCTCCCTGGGTCTGGTAAGAGATGTGGACAGGGGCATCTGGAGGTGACAGGGCTCCAGGAAATCAGAGATGCACTTGGTCAGAACAGGGCTTGCTGCATGATGTGCTCTAGTAGGGAAGAGTGATTGCTGGCCCAGTGATCCAGTGGGGGTGGCTAGCCTGTTGGGGGGATGGCTGTCTCCCACCGTGGGAGGGACCCAGACCTGGAAGGGTTCTAGCTTTCAAATGTTTCCCCAAATGTTTTCCATTTTTTGTGTGTTGTATATACATGCTCTGGAATAAATTACATATCTTGGGAATTATTATATTTAAGAGACTTTATCTGTAGAACATTCTAGACTTAGAGCATTTAGGGAGGTATTACATGAATTACTTGTTTAGTTTCTTCTGTGGTTAGTGGTCTAGTTTATTGGAAATGTCATCCTTCTGGCACACACTTAAAATACATTGGCATAGAGTTGTATTAATAATTTCTTATAATTAATTCCTTTTTTGATTCTCCCTTTGATTGTTATAATATCCCCTTATACTTTTCACTTTTTCTTTCTCTTTTAAAATTGATTATATTTGTGAAAAGTTCTTGTTCCTGTACTTCCCTCAAAAAACAAACAAAATAGCTCTTGAATTTCCTTACCCATCCCATTACTATTCTGTCATTTTTTTCTGCTTTTATCATTTTTATTTTCTTCTCTGTCCTCCTGTGTGCTTTTTTTTGGTAACTATTTGAGTTGAAAGTTTAATTCATTTATTTTTTTTTGTCATTTAAAGGAAAGCATTTAAATAGAACTTTGGCAATACCTCATACTTTTTTTTATTAATATTTTCATTATTATAAATGTCCCTATTTATTTCCTTAATAGTTTTTGTCTTAAAGTTTGCTTCATCTGATATTAGCATAACTACTCTAGCTTTCATGTGGTTCTTGTCTGCATGATGTATTTTTTTCATCCCTTTACTTGCAACATATTTATATCTGATGTCTCCTTGGACAGCATATATGTGGATCTTGTTTTGATCCATTGTGACAGTTTGCCTTTCTGACTGGATTGTTTAATCCATTCACATGTACTGTGATTACTGACATAGTGGATTTGTGTCTGCCATGTTACTTTTTGCTTTCTGTGTTTCCTGTCTTTTGTTTCTATTTCTCTTTTATGGCTTTCTTTACATTAGTGAATATTTTCTAGTGTAACATTTTAATTCTTTTAATGATTTTTTTCACAATAGAAATTTTAGTTATTTTCCTAGTTGGTTTCTCTAGGATTTTATCAGAAAATACTTCAGATTTATGCTAATTTAATTCCAGGAAAATATACAAATACTATTCCTAATAGCTCTATTACATCTGTGCTGTTATACCACATATTTTTGTGCACACATCACATTGATATACATTACAAACCCAATAGTATGCTGCTATAATTTTATATAATTTTATGTCTATGAGAGAAGTTAAAGAGAAAGGGGAGCAAATATATAATTACGTAGTTTGCTATATTAACCTTATTTACATTTCTGGTTCTTTTCATTTGTTCCTCTTGTTCAGTTACTCTGGTATCTCTTCCTTACTCCTTTTCAGTTTTGCTCCCACCTACCTCTTTTCTGCTATTATTGTCAAATATATTTTATTTATATTTGTTGTAAATCCAACAATACAATTATATACACATTGTTTTTATACAATTGCTTTTTAAATCGGTTAAGAAAAGAAAGAAAATATACATTTAAGCTGTTTTTTATAATTATATAATTACCTTTCCTGGTGGTCTCTGATGGATTACTGTCTGAGTCACTTGCTTTCAGCTTGAAGAACTTCCTTCAGTATTGCTCACAAGGTGGGTCTGCTAGCAACAAATTATCAAAGTTTTTGTTTATCTGGACATGCCTTTATTTTTTGTTTTTATTTTTTGAAAGATAACTTTGCTGAATATGAGATTCTTGGTTGACAGTTTTGTTCTTTCAGTGTTTGGAATGTATCATCCCACTACCTTCTGGCCTCTGTTGTTTCTGATGAACAATCAGTTGGTTCTGTTAATCTTATTGGGGTTCCTTTATAAATGATTAATCATTTTTCTCTTGATACTCCCAAAATTTTCTTCTGTATTTGTTTTTCACTATTTTTACTAAGATGTGTTTGAGAGTGGATCTCCTTATGGCTATTCTACATTAAGCTTCATGGATTGAGCTATTTACTGAACTTCATGGATTTTTAGACTAATGTTTTTCTATCAAATTTGGGAAGTATTCAGCTGTTATTTATTTTAACATTTTTCTCTGCTCCTTTCTGTTTTTCTCTCTTTCTGTAACTCCCATTATGCATATGTTGGTGTGTTTAATGGTAACCCATTCCTTTCTGAGGCTCTTTTCATTTAAAGAAATTATTTTTCTCATTTTTAGATTGCATAATGTCTAGCTTAAAGTTCACTGATTCTTTCTTCTGCCAGTTCAAACCTACTGTTGAGCCACTCTACTGATACTTTTATTTCAGTTACTGTACTTTGTAATTCAAGAATTTCTAGCTGGTTCTTAAAAATTTTATTATTGGGGGAGGGGCCAACATGGTGGAGAAGTAGGGGGAATCCATACTTCCCACGTCTCTCAAACAAAGAAGTGTAGAAGCCGAAGGACTTTGAAAACACCAGAGCCTGGGAGGAAAATAGACTGAAACTACAATGAAGAAAATGGGAAAGCTGGAAAAAAGATAGATGGGCATGGAGGGGAGGGACCCCCTTCTGTGCAGAGACAAAGGGAAGAGAAAGAGTGGCTAGGGAAGTGCAGGACTGTATCTAGACAGGAGAAAGACCTCGGACTGAGACTGAGAAGGATTCGATCTCTAATTATGGGGCTTTCTTCCAACTGGAGCCAGCTCCCTGCTCTCGCATCTGGGGAGGAGGGGAGCCAGGCCTGGGTGCTGTGGTAGGTCAGAGGCTGAGTCCACAGTTGGAAAAAGTGGTTCCCTCCCTAGAGGGTTGTGTGATAATACAGAACCTGCCTGCGTCCACCACCCCTGGGCACAGTGGCTGGGCCAAGCATGCGGTCTACAGGAGGAAAAAGTGGCCATCTCCCTGGAATGCTGTGGGAAAAGACAAAGGCTGCCTGCGTCCGCCACCCTGGGGGGTTCCCGGTGAGGGCAGCAGCTCTCAGTCTGCAGTAGGAGAAGGTGGTCCTCCCTGAAATGCGGTGGCAGAGACAAAGCCAGCTGGGACCACATATCAGACCACACTGAAAGGCACTTCCCCAGTGCCAGAGTGCATGGAGCGGGACTTTGCATGCTAGCCAAGTGCAGGGTCAGGGGAGTTGGTGGAGCGAGAAGGACCACCCCATCTGCACTCTTGTCACAGTGAAGACAACTCGAACTGACTCCATGGGGTCCAGCTCCATGGAGAAGAGACTGGGGCATCACCATTTCCCCCCCACACCAACACCACCACCAAGGCTGGGCCTCAGGGATCACTCCCGGGGTCCTTAGTGGAGGTGGGTCCCGATTACACAAAACCACACCCCTTTGCACTGGGTAACTGTGTATTCACTGGAGCTGCACGGATCCTACAGACAGCTACTCCCAACAAGCAATGCATTACCTGGATTAACTCTAGGTCCACTCTGCATATATAGATATATTCTCCTCCCCCACCATTTCTCTTCCTTATCTCTTCCCTCCCCTAGGCTGGTTACTCTGGTTATTGGTCTGTCTAAACAGACATATTTAATCCATTGTCTTGATACATGTTCTACACCTGCTTCTTTACACTCCCTTCTCCCTCTCTGGAATAATCAAGCCATAAGTTTCTCTGTCTGGGTAACTTTATCCTCGTTTTGTTTTCCTTGCCTCATTCTTTATTTTCCCTTCTCTCTGGATTAAGCCTTTTAGTCTCTCTGCCTAATCAATGTTTATTCCTCCCCCCCCACTCCTGTTGTTTCTCCCTTTGTATGTGCTCTTCCATCAGCACCACCTCCATCCTCTCCTTTACTTGTAGTTGGTGTTTTGGGTTTTTTTTCTTTTTTGTCTTTAGTTTTTTGTTTTTGTTTATTTGTTTGTTTGTGTTATTTGTTTGTGTGTTTGCATGTTTTTGTCTCCTGTTTGTCTATCTGTTTTCCTTTACAGGGCTACTCCAAGGAACAAATCAAAGCACACCTGGTGGAGGGTCCATATTATCACTATGAATAGGGTACTAAAACAACAAAAGTCACAACAACAGAGAGCAAGTAACAATCCCCAAAAAAACTCCTGAAGTGCCAGGCCCTGGACAGTGTATAACCGTCATTTAATATAGCAGTGCTGTCAGGTGTAGAGCACACAAGCTTTTAAAATACATCAGGGGCAGAAAACTAGCCAAAATGACGACATGGAAGAATGCTCCTCAAAAGAAACTCCAGGAAGTAGTGACAGCTAACGAATTGATCAAAGCCGATTTAAGCAATACAATGGAACAAGGATTTAGAATAATAGTCATAAGCTTAATCACTGGGCTTGATAAGACAGCAGAGAATCTATTGCTACAGAGATTAAGGGACTAAAAAATAGTCATGATGATTTTAAAAATGCTATAAATGGGGTGCAAAATAAAATGGAGACAGCCATTGTGCAGATTGAAGAGGCAGAGGGGAGAATAGGTGAATTAGAAGATAAAATTATGGAAAAGATGAAGCTGAGAAAAAGAGATAAAAACCCCGGGAGTACGAGGAGAGAATTAGAGAACTAAGTGATGCAATCACATGGAACAATATCCATATCATAGGAATTCCAGAAGAAGAATAAGAGAGAGAAAGGGGCTGAAGGTGTACTTGAACATATCATAGCTGAGAACTTCCCTGATCTGGGGAAGGAAACAGGCATTGAAATCCAAGAGACACAGAGAACTCCCTTCAGACATCACTTGAATTGGTCTTCTGCATGACATATCATAGTGAAACTGGAAAAACACAAGGATAAAGAGAGAATTCTGAAAGCAGCCAGGGATAAACGGGCCCTAACAGGTAAAGGTAGACACATAAGGGTAGTAGCAGACTTATCT